AGCCACTCCTCGGAAGGAAGGTTGGGCAATCCTACTTCGGTAGTGATACTGCCTCGGAAACCCAAGGAGGGGTCGCTATGAGTCGGGGCCGACTCGACGGCACATAACAACAACAACAACAACAGTGCTGCTCTAACAGAAAATACCATGAATGAGTGGTTTTAAACAAACAGGGATTTATTCTCTTACTGTTTAGGAGGCTAGAACTCTGAGTTCAAAGTGCTAGCTCTAGGGTCTGGGTGAAAGCCCCTCAGCCTTGGGCTTTAGCTCTGCCTCTTGCTCCTGGACCACTGGAGCTGGAGGCATTTCTTCACTCAGGCAGCTGCTGGATGTTGAGGCTGACAAACCCAAGGTTAACAAATAAAATGGCATAGTCCTAAGATTACCAAACAACATGGCAGACCACTAGTTCAAGTCCAGAAACAGTCCCAAGATTGACAGGAAACATGGCAGGCTGCTAAAGGAAGACTTAGCTGATGAAAGGCCCAAGCATGTCAAAAAGTTACAGAGACCTGTCTCAGAGCTTCCTCTTATATACTGGAAGCAGACCACATTCCAAAGGCAGCTACTCAGCTGCTCTAGTAGATTCCACCATGGAGTTGATTACCAGTTTCATCATGGGAAATAACTACAACCAGCTGCCCAGCCATTCAAAACCAGTTGTCGTCAACTTCACATACAACTTAACTACCACACAACTGTTATGCTTTGCATGGCCACTTGAAAACTTTTAAGACCTCAGACTCTACACATGGAACCAGGAGGCAGAGCAGAGGCACTAACAATGCTATTAGGCCAATTAACTGTGAAACCATGAGCCCAAACGTCCAAATCAAGAAATCAAATCCCTTGAGGTTTTTGCTCATATATAATCAACCTTAGCAGCTACTCTTTCTTTTTATTGTGGTTGTTGTAGATATATCTGTGACACAACGTTCGCCAATTCAGCTTTTTACAGCAACTGACATGATATTTTTATCACCATTGACCTCTCTTTTCCTCTTCCTTCCTACCTCTGGTAACCACTAACAAACTTTGTTCTCTATACATTTGTCTTTTCTTGTATTTTATATAAGTGAGGTCATATAATATCTGCACTTTTGTGACTGATTTATTTCTCTCAGCATAATGTCTTCCAGCTTCAACCATATTGTAGCATGTATCAAGGCTTCATTTCTCTGACTGGTTGAGTAGTATTCCACTGTATATATGTACCACATTTTGTTTATCCACTCATCTGTTGATAGGCATTTAGGTTTTTTCTACTTTTTGTCTATTGTAAATATTGCTGCAATGAACAATAATATTCATTACATCTGTTTTAGTCTCT